AAAGTTTTCGACTTGGACAAATAACCCATTATTTGACGGGCCACGTCAGCTGCCGTCATCTTCCCGTTAATGGCGTGCTTACTCAGATATTTTAAACACGGTGGAGGTTTTTTTACCTGCGTGGATGCTGAACTGGCCCATTCCCGCCCATTTTAATCATACGTGGTGATTTTTCTCTCCTTTCCATTACACGTCAACTGGGCCCCACCTATAAAATTCCATAAAACCAATTATCGGTGCGGTACCAGCTCTGAGATTTGTTGTGGGTCTTGTGACCAAGGCCATGGTTAGCTAAACAAGGGCAAAAGTTATCAAAAAGTGGGTGTTCGGAGCAATTTGACAGAAGATCAAGATTGAAGTGTGAGGGAGGCTCCTGATGTAAATCGAGCGGCCGCTGCAGTCCCCTGTAGCCGCCGTCGTTATCGGGTCTAACGAAGCAGTGGTCTGGATTTGCAGGGAAGAAGATACAGAATTAGTAATCAAGACGAGGGAAAATAAGATGATGGTAACGGGAAAAAGCTGCGATTTGGGTTCTGAACACCATGGGAAGGGAGGTTTGGTCTTAAGAAGAGTTAAACCATCATACTGATGAGCTTGTTTTTCTGTTTCATTTTTTACTGTTTCTCTGTATGTCTTTTAGCGATTTCTGAAAAGAAGAAGCAATTTCAAAGCTGATACTATTAAAAACCAATTTTGGGGGGGCGAAGATTGATCCGCCATTGTCGGTGGAAGAAAACAACCGCACATTGTAATAACCCGCCCTAGGCGGCGGCGTTTCCTGCTTTACTGCCACACATGAATTTACACCAGAGAAAGAGGGAAGACTTTTCAAAGTGTTAGAGAACTACAGACTAACCAATAACGTGATGACACGTAATCCACATCACACGGCTGAATACAAACTGATATACACAGTGGTTATCTCCCTTTTCCTAATGGATAAAAAATTAAAAGAGCAAAAAAAGAGATTTCTACTTCAGCATTCAGCACAACTCGAATTGGAAGAATTACAGCGCAAATCTTCCTCGTCCAGGATGAACAATTTGCAGGAATCATGAATTTGGAAAATACCCTGAAATGTACAAACAGTTTTCATTAAAAACCAGGTGAACAATTCGGATTAAACAGAAGAGAAAGCGAAGAAAAAGAGTACAAATTCAGCAGAAGTTGAACCTTGAGCAGAAAAATTTTGGCGGAGACGAATAAATATATCAGCAAAACCTCAAGATGGGCATGTTGCAACATTCGAATTCAGTGAGCAATATGGGGTCCCTGAACCCAACAAGAAATTGGGATAGAGCTTCAAGAAACAGAGCACCCTGGTAAACATTCGTTGCGTTGATAATCTCTGAAATCACGGTCCTCCGTAACCTATTGGCATCCAGGAATACGGCCACCATCTCTTCCATCTCTTCCTTTACTGCTTCATCGATTTCCTTTTTCTTTCCCTCGCAAGAAACGCAGTCTTCCGCTATCTTCCCCATAATGGCACAGAAAAAGACACCAAAAGACCATGGAAAGGAATTTTATGGAATTTTATAGGTGGGGCCCAGTTGACGTGTAATGGAAAGGAGAGAAAAATCACCACGTATGATTAAAATGGGCGGGAATGGGCCAGTTCAGCATCCACGCAGGTAAAAAAACCTCCACCGTGTTTAAAATATCTGAGTAAGCA